AAAAAAAAAAAAAAGAAGAAGCAAAAAGCAGAAACAAACTTACACGCATATGTTTACAGCAGTACAATTCACAATTGCAAAGATGTGGAACCAACCTAAGTCCCCATAGACTAATGAGTGGATAAAGAAAAGGTGGTATTATAAACAACAGAATACTACTCAGTCATAAAAGATACAAGATAATGCCTTTCCTATTAACTTGAATGGAGCTGGAGGCCATTATTCTACGTGAAGTAACTTAGAAGTAGAAAATCAAAAACTTTATGTTCTCACCTATAAGTGGGAGCTAGGCTATAAGTATGCAAAGGCATACAGTAAGATGTAATGGACTTTAGAGATTCAGAAGGGACAGGTTGAAATGGAGGATAGAGTTTTAAAACTACATATTATATACAATGCATGCTACTTGGGTGAGGAGCGCATTAAAATCTCTGAATTCACCACTATATAATTCATTCATATAACAAAAATCCACTTGTACACAAAAACTTATTGAAATATTTTTTTTAAGCATGGCACCTTGGCATGCTGAGTACCTTGAACTAAGGGAGATTGGAAGGACTTCAGAAGCCAAGACTTCCTTGCCTCTTCTTTTATTCCTTCTCCCACTCTTTTTTTGTCCCTGAAACAAGTCGTAGAAACAAGAATTCTTTTCCCCCAAGATGGGTGATAGAAACTAGAATGCCTCTTCTTCAAAGCAAGCCTCAACATCTAGAAATGTCATTTTCTCCCTTCTCCCTTGAAGATCCTCATTCCAGAGGGTTCCTATTTCATACCCAGGAGGAAGGAATGCTACTCCAGAGGCCAAAAAGAATCTGAACAGACAGGACTCGCTGCATTTTCTTCCTTTAGTCTGTTCTCATTAGATCACACTCTTTTGTCCAATCACATTTCTACATGACTGCCTATTCTTCACAAACTCTAAGTATAAAAACTGACAGTTTTCCCTTAGTCTTTGTGTCTTCATTTCTGAAAGTTTTCATGTCATGTAAGACTATGATTAAATAAATGTGTTATGCTTTAAATATATACATTTGAACATTTACATTTCCAAGCACATTACATGTAGCTATTAATTTGTCCCTTACAAGAATCCTTGGAGATGGATGCCATTATTAACCCTATATTACAGAGTGGGAACTAAGCCTGAGCAAATGAGGTAGCCTGTGAAAGGTCACATGGCTAGTGTGAAAAATAACCAGGCTTCAAACAGTCAAATTGACTTTAAAACCTGATCTGGAAGCCTCTATGCTATACCACCTACTATGCTTAACCATTGTGCTTTAAAATGATAATATCATTAGGCAGATATACTTATATTGACTCTAATACCTTTTTCTGTTATTCAGAAAGTGCTTAAATGATTCATGAATACGATTTTTATAGCCTGAGGCTGAGGACGATCTTCTGGTTGCTTAGTCAGAAGATATTCTTCCAACAGCTAGAAGACCCAATGCTGTACTGTATGTTGAGTACAATTTTTGGTACTATAACCATTCTGAAATGAAAAATCAATTGGTATTTTATAGTATGTACAGTACTGCTTTCTCATATTTCCATTTAGAAGAAAATAAATAATACTAGAAAAGATATTTTGACTTTTTTAACACATGGAAATAAGAAGGAGGAGCCATTTTTGCTAAGAACCATACTAAATATAAAATCTTTTAGCACTCTTGACCAAGATAGAAGTTGTACGTAGTGGAAGTCAATCTGACTTTTCAGCCAAATCAGCCATTCTCCTTAACAGTGTGGCCAATAAGATTTACAGGGTAAAAAAGTCTCAAAACCAGAATTTATCTTCTGCTTCTCTTGGCAAATGGAATCATGTCTAAGAACAAAAAGCAGGATAGTACATAGTTGCTTACAGCTGATTTGATAAATAATTCATATGTGACGTTACCAGCTAGCCAAGGAGCTTTTCAGTATAGGGATGCATAGTGCATCACTGACTCTATTTAGCAATCTTTATCTCTCAAGCAGATTTGCCAAATGGGCAAACCTTTTTCCAAACCTTTTGTTTTGTGCCTGTTTGTATTAAATACTGTAAAAGATATCTTAAACATATTTTGTCACCATAACATCTTAGTGTTTCATGTTTCAGTGGCCAACAAAAAATTTAAATATGCATGGGTTATATTATATTATTTGATGTAGGGTTTGTAGATTACAGCTACATTAAAAATAAACCATATTTTTGTCCAGTCAATAAAACTATCACAAACTAGAATCAAATACCAAAATATTATTTATATACTTCGTGTCCTGAAATGCATGACTTATGGAATATCTCATTTTAGCCACACTTATTTTAACAGCATATACTATACATAAATAATATTTCATATACATAGATAATAACATTTCAACCCAATGTTAGTTAAATTCAGTTTGATTTTGGTGTACTATTAAACTATCATCAAATATAAAGAATTTTCCCCTTTGTAAAGTTTTTTCCATAGACTTCTAAGATAATTTTTGCAAAGTAAGCCTTTATAATTACATTCACAAATGCAAATATTAATAGCAAGAATATCAATGATGTTACAGATAATTTAGGTTGCTAATTTCTTTAAAATTTTCTTTGAAACTGAACATTGCCCCAAAATATCATAGAACTGGAAATGAAATATATAAAATGCCTAAGGATGAAGAATATCTAGCATTATGTATCTGTTTACATTCTTTCTACTGTGATCTAAATATCCTCATCAGCATTTGATGATCATAATTATTCTAAATTACATATCTTTTTTATTTTTTGAAGAGTGAGGCAACTTAAGAATTAATAAATCATGGAGAGAAAATTCTGTTTTTCTTCACCAGTATTGTCATCTATCAGAAGCTTTAGGTTATTCTTCAAAGGGAATAATTGACAAGCATAAATGATGCAATATGTGTTAGAAAAGTTCCAGTCAGTAATTCAGAGATGTTTATAGCTTCCAGAGAAAGAATCTGAGAATGTGTTACCCTTAAGGAATCCCTGAGTATTCACAGCAAGCCCATCTGCTCCTATAGAAACCTAATCCAAAAACAAATCTGGGCTCACTTCCCACAAAGAAGTTTCCCTAGCTTTACAACGGAATTGAAAGTTTCAAAAATAATAAGACTACAGCAATAATAGGAGCTATTTGAGACATCCAATTGCAATTTACTACAGTAATTTATCACTTAAAAAAATAACTTACCGCCCCCATTCTTCTGACATAGGTATGGAAATCGCCACACATTTCCTAAACCTACAGAAAATCCAACTTGGGCCAGGATGTATTGTAGTTTACTGTTCCAAGCTGGTCTTTCATCTTCAACTTCAGATCCTTCTTCAACCTCTGTATCTTTCTCTTCTTGGCCATCAACAATTAATTCACTTGTCTTAAAAGCATCCTCAGCTGAGTCTTCATTGGAAAGAAGGTCTTTGACAGACTCAGTAACATCATCATCTAATTCTCTTTTTACCACCTTGCTGTTTTTAGGCATTGGAAAGTATGTGAAGTATTATTAAAGAAAAAACAAAAAACTCCTTTGTGGCAAATATGTTAATTCTGTTTTTTGAAACAATGTTACTTGATATGAAGACCAAGAAGGTACCAAATAAATCCTTGATTCCAGGTGATAAAGTCTTCTGGATTCTGAATCCGTATGTCCAATATTCTGTAGGTACCTGTAAAATTATAAGTTGAAATATGATGATATTTGATGATGAAAAAATATTTAAAATATCAAATTATTCTTTTCTGTTCATTTTTATGATAGAAAGTCTTTCTACAGAGTATAAAACATATAATTGTTTTTAGCTTTTCAGAGCTTAATATTCTTGTAATTATAATAATTGTAAAGCACATATGAGCTTCAAATACAATCTTCTTAGCTAATTTCCTCCTTCTTGCAAAACTCTCAGATATACTCCAATGCATAATGAATATCTGTTCATTAGTAACTAAACTTTTATGACTCTTTTTCTTAATTCTTTCTATTTTCCTCCCTGACTAAAGCAGATCTTTTCTTATATATCCCTGATTTTGTTCCTTGTAGAATTGTATATACAACTGCATACCAACTCTGTAAATTTGTTTTATATACAATCTCTTCTGTTCAAATATTCATCATTTACTCATTTAATTGTTCTTTTAAAAAATTTAATCTAATTTATTTTTGGAGACAGGGTCTTTCTCTGTGACCCAGGCTGGAGAGCCATGGCACAATCAGGACTCACTGCAGCCTGTACCTCACCCAGAGATCCTCTTGCCTCAGTCCCACAAGTAGCTACAGGTGTGTGCCACCAGATCCAGCTAATTTTAGTTTTCCTTTTTTTTTTTTTTTTTTTTTATGTTGCCCAAGCAGGTCTTGAACTTCTGAGCTCAAGCTAGATCCTGCCTCGGCCTCCCACAGTGCTGGGATTATATTGCATAAGCCATCACACTCAACCCATTTGAATTTATTGTGATGGGGCTTTATGTGATACAATAATCAATGAAATGTACAGAGCATGTTTTTAAGGATCTTATATTTAATAGAAAGAAAGGTATATCAAATAACAATACCATAATGTGGAACTTAAATGACCCAACATCATTACAACAGAAAAGATCAGGAAAGTTGGATAAAATTAGAGTTCAGCATAAATGGAGTGAGGTCATACCTAAACATAAGGAAAAGTATAAATGAGATGAGAAGTGGTAAAAATGCACAATATATATGTGATCAGTCTCTTAACAGCTCAAGAAAAACTGCAAACACATTGGGATTTTTTTTTTCCTTTTCCTATTTGCATGTTACATCTCCTATCCTTTTCCCCAGTCAGACACAGACCAAGTAAGTATACAACACATGTCTGCAGACCAGCAACACTGTCTGTGTTAAAAGTGAATAAACATATGAGTGTTCAAAGCTGGATCAGGAAGCTTCTGAAATGGTAGCCCAAGAACTCTGCCCTTTATTTCTGGAACAAAATAGAATTTCTTAAGAGAACTGCTATTAGATTTACATTAAAAGTCAAAGAAAACAGCTGTCATATTTCAATCTATAATCTTAGTGAGCAAGACAGAATGTTGGGTAACCCAATGGAAAGAAAATTTTTTAATTGACTATGTAACTAATTTGTTGCCTTTAGGCTAGGATGATGTTTAGTTGTGCGTAACATTAAAAGACATACCCTAAGAGCAAACACTACTCATTTAGGATTTGGTGACAATTAAGAGAAAACTGTTTAGAAAATTGTGAAAGAGATGCATTCCCAAAATATTTTCAGTGATAGACACATCTCTAGAATAGGTGAAAAACTTCCCACAGTGATTATTTTAAACTGATAAAAACAGATAGTACACTTGATCTTAGTGAAAAGGCTGAGAAGCGATCACAGTGACTAATTTAAAGAGACCAACAAGGTTTTGATATGAAAATAATTCAGGAGATTTGGGGTTGTGTCTGTTTAATTTACATTATTTTTCCCCACAAGTCAATAAATATTAGTTGAATATGTTAATAAATATAGCCATTGAAAAACTGAAATAAGTAAACTTTCTAGATAGTGTTTGCTGGAAGAAGACCTGATATATAAAAAAATTGTGATTTGTAAGACATGAATTATCCAGAAAAAAGGTTTACATTTATTAAACTATCTAAAGATAAAATGTGTTGGCATAGTAACAAGTGACATACAGATAAGAGCATGGATTTTCATCTGACAAATTTGGAGTTGTGTCCTAGCATTACAACTTATTAGTTGTGTAAAAACTGGTAGTTATGTCTCTCTTAACTCAGTTCCCACAATAAACATTGGTTTCTTCTTCCATTTGCTTTTTCCATACAGATAGAAAAGGAGTGTATCCAAGCTTAGAGATATTATTATAGTAAAAGCACTCAACATTTTATAAAGAAAAAAATTTTTAAAGTGTTAACCATGAATCTACCCCCAAACTTTTAAAGAAATTATTATATTTCTTCTATACATTTCTATTCTTTGCAGAAAAAAATACACAAAAAAATCAAAATAAAAGGTAATACCTTTGGCTACTGCTGCATGTTTTTTACTTACCAAGTGACCAATTTTCACCAATTTATGTAAGATATCCTTTGGCAAAGTTTACACTTAAAAATTCTGATCAGACTACCTGAAGGTCATAATTTCTATTTTTAAAAATAGCATCTAATGCAGACAAATTTTAAGTGCAATATTATATCATAAATACTTTGAATATATATAAATATACTATAGATATTGTATAATAACAACCCCAGCCAAACTTTATATAACATTTATTAAAAAGGGAGTTAAAATGGGCATTTGCGTGCATTAAGAACTCCTTTTCTAAGCAAAGAAAATAATGAATACTTAATGATATTATAAATAAAATAAGCTTTCTTTTCTTATTATCTTATTTTTCTTACTGTCTCCCACTTCTTGGTCTGTCTGGGGTGGTTGTAGGAATATAGTGGAAGTATTGTAATTAACATTAAAATGTTCACAGTAACATATAAGTCTAGGAGAAAGTAAGTCATTGCCTTGAGAATGACTTTGTTTATCTTACCCTCATATAATCAATGTTTAAACTTGTCAAGTTGAATGAATGAACTGAAATGTTTAAAGAATAAGATCATATAACTAAACAAGTATTTTGCACTATTAGATGTTTTCATTTTTGTTTGTAGTTTAACCCCAAGACCATGCACTCACTGAACATAAGAATTAACTTCTTGGGCACAGAATTCATAAAGCCAAAAGTAAATAAATAAATTTCGTTTCTGAAGAGATTAAAACTAAATAAAGCAACAACAATTTGGAAGCCAGATCAATTTCAAATGTTTAAGAGTGACTTTCTTGAAGGATAGGCGTTTCTTTAAATTCCAAAAGCATGCCTAAAAACCTTAGTCCATAAATGTAGTCCATAAACATAGAGTAGAAAGAAAATAGTAAGAGAGGTTGACAACTGCCAAAAATGCTGCATCTGGGAATAGAAGAAGAAATGAACAGAAATGTCTGGTAAGAGAGAGAGGGTGGTAAATTATCAGTGTTTGATAGGTTATATGGACAGTAGTAGAATCAGTTTCAAGTAACAGCACAGCCTCTGCCAAGTTAGCAGCATTCATTCTTGTGACAGATAATCAACTGAGGAACAAAGTATCACCAACTGCACTTCATCTGCACCGAAGAGTTGTAATACTTGTTCTCATCATTATTTGGTAAAAGCCTCCTATCTACAACTGCACGATAGAGCAGGAGACAACAAAATATTGCTCATGAGCCAAATACAACCCATCATCTGTATTTTGTAATAAAATTGTATTGGCATGTATCCAGGCCCAGAGATTTACATAGTGCTGTGGCTGATTTTGTGCTACAACAACGGAGTTATTGTTAGGGACCTTAAAGCCTAACATGTTTACTAACTCTTTACTGAAAACATTTGCCAATCTGTCTTTCAGAGAATAAATCTAAATTGAAAATGTGATTTTCCCACATTGATTTTGTATCCGGAGACGTTGCTGAAGTTGCTCATCAACTTGAGATTTTGGACTGAGACGATGGAGTTTTATAAATATACAATCATGTCATCTGCAAATAGAGACAATTTGACTTCCTCTTTTCCTAATTGGATATCCTTTATTTCTTTGCCTTGTCTGGTTACTCTGGCCAGAACTACCAATATTATGTTGAATAGGATTGGTGAGAGAGGGCATCCTTGTCTTGTGCCAGTTTTCAAAGGAAATGCTTTCAGTTTTGGCCTATTCAGTATGATATTGGCTGTGTGTCTGTCATAAATAGATCTTATTATTTTGAGACATGCTCCAGCAATACTTAGTTTATTGAGTTTTTAGCTTGAGGGCGTGTTGAATTTTGTCGAAGTCCTTTTGTGCAGCTATTGAGATAATCATGTCGTTTTTGTCATTAGTTCTGTTTATATATGGATTACATTTATCGATTTGCATATGTTGAACCAGCCTTGCATCCCAGGGATGAAGCCAACTTAATCGTAGTGGATAAGTTTTTTGATGTGCTGTTGGATTCGGTTTGCCAGTATGTTATTGAGATTTTTTGCATTGATGTTCATCAAGGATATTGGCCTGAAATTTTCTTTTTTGTTGTATCTCTGTCAGGTTTTGGTATCAGGATGATGCTGACCTCATAAAACAAGTTAGGGAGGATTCCCTCTTTTTGTATTATTTGGAATAGTTTCAGAAGGAAAGGTACCAACTCCTCTTTGTACCTCCAGTAGAATTTGGCTGTGGATCCATATGGTCCTGGTCTTTTTTGTTGGTAGGCTATTAATTACTGCCTCAATATCAGAACTTGTTATTGGTCTATTCAGGGATTGGACTTCTTCCTGGTTTAGTCGTGGGATGGTGTATGTGTCCAGCAATTTATCTATTTCTTCTAGATTTTCTAGTTTATTTCCACAGAGGTATTTATAGAATTCTCTGATGGTAGTTTGTTTTTCTGTGGGATCAGTGGTGATATCCCTGTTATCATTTTTTACTGTGTCTATTTGACTTTTTTCTCTTTTCTTCTTGTTTTGTCTGGCTTGCGATCTATCTATTTTGTTAGTCTTTTCAAAAAACCAGCTCCTGGATTCATTGATTTTTTGAAGGGTTTTTCCTGTCTCTGTCTCCTTCAGTTCTGCTCTGATCTTAGTTATTTCTTGTCGTCTACCAGCTTTTGAATTT